ATGTCACACTTAAAAGTCACTCTTAGAAGGACTTCAAATAATGTACAGCTTTTAGAGTGTGTCCTCCTGGAATTACTAGGTAGCTAGGAGGGTTACTACAACACACAAATATACTGGCAGAAGAAAAATGCTGAATGCTCAGTAGGATTAGAGGACAAAATACTAAGTGTGTATTTAAAACTATGAAAACTATTGCTGGCTGAAATATTCAATTCCAGACTGGAATCCACTCTTCAAATGAAAAGCTGACAAAACTTGTAAAGAGTTCAAGGCTTCTGAAATACATGCATTAACATGACAGGCGTCAAAAGCTGGAACTTAATTTATATTAAAAAAAATAAAATAAAGGAGCTCAAGAGATGACTTAAAACTGACTTGCTTGTATTTAATTGGGAAAAAATTATTTCTGACAACAGAAGGAATTTTACTGCATCAGGAAAATATATAAGAAAGTATCATTGCTGGGAACTGGAGTCATGCAAACTGAAGAGAAATAAGACGTATTTTCCTCTGACTGTGAACAGTGAACCCTTTGGAACAACCTGTGTACAGAGATAATGGATTAGAACTAATTTGATGTCTTTTAAATGAAGAGTTGATGCCTCCCCTTAAGATACACACTCTTACGGGGCTTAAAATAGTGACTAGGGGGCAGATTGTGTGGCCTGTAATATTCAACAGAGCAGACCAGATGGCCATCACCATCTCTCTGGCCTCAAAATTACCGAAATGCTACTAAGTACACACAGAAATGTCTGGAAATTGGGGATGCAGAAGAGAGAGAAGACACCAGTGCTTGGGAGCAGGCCAAAAGCTTAATGAGCCGCTGAGAACCAGCATAAGCACATTTCAGTCCCATATTTCCACAGGGGTTAGGGCTGGGAGAGACACAGAGATTTGTTTAGAGACTGTTTGTTCTAGCTAAATTGTTTCCAGGATCTAGTTAGAAGTATGTAGAAAACTCTTTCATTAGCTAAGAATAGAAATCTACGCAAACTACAATAAGCGACATTTTTTCAGGTTCGTGTAAGACAGCTCTGGGTACTCCCATCTTCATCTGGCCCCTTGCTTAAGGAATTAATCATACCTGGCCTCTCAACTGCAGTCTCTTTGTAACCAGAGCAGGATTTATCACATATAGCACGGTGAAAAAAATCTGACCATTAATAAGAGGCTTAAGTTTGTGGACAGTAGTTGATTTTACATATTTAGCTGCTGTTGCTAAATAGTAAGAAAATAATACAGAAATAAAATATGTAGTTTATTGTATATATAATATAGAAATAGATAATAAATAAAAATACATATAAAATAACATAAACACATTAAGACTAAAAAGCTTTTTTGTAATTTCCAGTCCTCTGGCAAACAAAAGTCTATTTAGTCTTAAAGTCTTGCCTTTGTTAACTTCCCATAGCTTTCACTCACACTTCACACTCTGTCTGTTAGCTTGCCATGTACCATAATTTCCTGTCATTTAAATGCCACCCAGTGGCATTTTCTTCTTCAGGGCTTCCTTGAATAGCCTAAAAGCATCAGCAGAACTGTGCACAGCTGATCCTCTCACCTTTTGTTGATGAATGACTCCAGCTGGTTTTTTAAGGTTTTACCTTTCTTGTGAGGTATTTCTGGTTGTCCTTCATATTCTGGTGTCCAAGCAAGAGCAACTGACACCCACCACATCTAAATAACTTAAAATATTTTAAAATCCTACTTGGATCCCTCATCATATTTAAGCTTTCAAATACCTTTGAACAATCTGATCCTGAGTATGTGCATTCTAATTTCTGTATGAATCCTTACAGAAAAATGTAAAAACTAATAGGGAAACTTTCTCCTGATAGCACTTCTGTAAACTTCTACCTGTAATTTTACAATGTATATGTGTTCATTATACATTTCCAGCATGATCAAGATCACCCATGGAGGCTAAAACTCCTATATTGTTTCCAGTACCAGCTGCCACACACGAGAGAGCCTCATCTGTTTAAAATGAGCCAAAAGACTGCTTTTTAAAGAGTATAAGTTTGTCAAGAATAAAGTTAAGAAATAAGTAACAGAGCTGTCAGAGTATCTTACAATATAACTAAGTTACAGCAAATTGAAGTCATTGAAATCTCTCTCACGACTGTTTGGCTGGACAGTGAAGCAACGCAGATAATTGCTATTTACCAATTATAGTCCCATAACCAAAGACAGCCATTTACCATGAAGAGCTAAAACTCTTCCATAAACCAAAAATTTTAGAAAAGAAGCGGATTTCCATAAATTATTACATTTTTATATAAGATACAAAACCAAATTTTGCAAGATCTTTGTAAGTGAAAAGGGCCATGCAGAAATTACTGTATGAAGAAAGAGCCTTCTTCATACAAAACTCACACTTTTAACCCACTATCTGATCCAGGTTATCTAATTTTTACTGCTGGAGGCAGTAAACACTACCAGGTTTAAACATCTGAATTTTAAGTGGCCATGGCTAGAAATATCATGTTTTCCTTAATTTGTCAGAATACTCCAAATAAAGAAATGTTTCAGTTCCATTATCAGGGTTCCTTCAATGAGCTGTAAGAAATTAGCCTATACACTACCTTTATAAAGTGTGATGTCAAAGCACAGTGTCTGTTCTCCAAAGACTAAAGTTCTTAAAGGTGCTGTTTCTTCAGTGCAATGAACCCTTAAGATAAGTTTGTAATCAGACTTATAACGCTTGATTAATACTCTATTCAGGAAATAAATTCCAAAAACAAATTCCTCTCTCTACTGTCTTCTAAGCTAGAACTTGAAATGTAAGTGAGAGAAAGAAGTTTTAAAAAACCATATTATCACAAAAAATAAAAAATATTTTTCTCACTAGTCTGGAAGAGGCTGGTATTCTTCTTCTGGTACTATGTATGGGGAAAAATGAGCAAAGCCTAAGGCTGACCAGTTTCTTCACAAAAAACAGTCTCCATAGATAAACAGAAATTTCCTTGTACAGGGAATGAAAATGACACCAAAGGGGAAGAACAATCAAAAATGATAAAAAGAAGGTGGATTCTTAACTCTAATTTAAAATCAGGAGAACTCAGGGACTCCAGTCACCTCCAAACTTTGCAAAAACCTTAGACCAAAACATTTAAACTCTTGAAGAAATTTTACTTCAAGGCTTGCAAAAAGCTGCCTGTTTCTTCACCTGCATTAACAAAGGCAGAGTCTAATATTTTGACTTCTGCAGGTACCCTTCTCTACCGCAAGTAGTCCCATTAGTTGGGGACACTTACCAATACGAACAAGGTATTAACAAAGAACTCAGTTTTGTGATTATAATACAAGTGTAAAAAAAATCGAATTGAGCAAAATTATAGTGCTTCCTTCAAAATAAGTAAAACAACTTGTACCTAGATGAGTTGCAAAACTAAAATTATTGCCCCATAACTTACAGATATTTGTTAAGTACATTTAGCATTACCTGTATTGCAAGACTTTTCCTTTGTATACACATAAATCTTTGTTAGATTTGAGAGCAATTTCTGCAAGCTGGATAAGAAGGGCTTACATGCTCTTGCTCTTCCCCACAGTTGGAGAGAGCTGCATGAATGCACCTTTCCCTCCAGTGCCATGACTTTTAAGAATCTACCTCTTAAAAGGTTGTAAGGTCATACAGGGCATCCAAATAAAAGTGCTAAGAATGAATAGAATCTAAAATGCTATTATGGTGGTCAGATTGTGAACCATTATCAACGGGTGGGACATCTCAGCACGGGTGTCAGCAGTTAAAAGAAACATGAGGAACTGCTGCAACCTCACACAGCAGCCTAACATTTCATTATCTATCACGTCAAATAGTGATGAGTTAGTTAGAATCTTGCATAAGGTAACTGCAAAATTTTGCATCACGTGCAGTGATGCTAAATAGAAGACACGACCAAAGATCACATGGGACAAGAACACATCTGGGGCAGTGGTGACAGCTAGTTTGCGGCTACCTTGCCTCAGGAGCAGCCCCAAAACAGCACCAGCACCATTTCAAATCCAGGAAGATGTTCTCTGCCAGGCTGACTCATATCACACCAGAGCCAATTCACTCGAGTCTCATTTTCTGAAGTGCTGAACACCTGCAGTTTCCCCTGATTTCAGTTGGTATAGAGGGCAATCAGTGCTTCCAAAATCCAAGTATTACGCAGACATGCTTTGAAGAAGCAGATGCCCCACAAAGCCAAAAATCCCACAAATTAACAAGCCCTGTGAGTTTCCTCCAGAGCAGAGTTTGAAGTGTGCAGCCTTATAGAGAGATGTTTAAATACCTCCAGCAACTACAGCACAGGAGTGGAGATAAGAAAACACCACCACTACCCTCACTACTGTCAGTCTTGTGGTATTTTAGATACCCAAACAAAACGGGTGGTGCTCACTCTCTCCATGCTATCTGGCAGGCAAAGAAACAAACCGCTGCAGTTTCAATAGGACTAATCATTTTTCACTTGGACAGGACAATCTCACACAAGTGGTGGATTTCTGAAACAGAGTATGAGGAAACATTCCTGTCATCTTACTGAAAAAAAGAAATCAGACTGCATTGCTACCAACAGATAAAACAGAATAGTGTGATTCTAAAAGCACATTGCTTTAGCAGTTTCACAGAAAAAAATTGATGTAAGTAACATTTCTGAAATGCACAGAAATATCAATTAAATATAAGCACAACTGTCTGAGGTAAAAACAACAGCAGCTAATATTGATTATCCCACTGGTTAGTTTTCATTAACGTGGTCTATTCTGTGAGTTAAGAGCTGGGTCTCTCTGTGCGCATGTGGCCGTATTGCAGCTTAGCCCTCTGCAACTGGCAACAAAATGCAGGAGGATTTCAATATATCAGGAACATAAACGTGTTACATGCATTAGGGATATACTACGGATGCAAGTATTACGGTCTTCTTGGTATTTGAGGCAATCCTTTTTTTAAACAAAACAAATACTATTATAAGGTGAGAAATATGAGAACCAAAACTAAATCTTACATGATAAACTCTGTCAGGTTGCACCATTTTTTAGAGTCCACTCTCTTCATCACTTCTTCAAAGGATTTTCCACAAGCAGGCAACTTTTCTAACATGAGAGATTCATTGCAGAGATTACTCTGTTGACGTGCACCTAGGTAAAATCAGAAAGCACCTTAAATCTCAAACATTGAAACATAAGCGCAAACACATCATTCACAAAATCCTTCACATCATTCTGCTTGTCACCTGCATTGTTGCAAACCTGATATTCAACTTGCTAAACAATTTTGTAGACAAAATATTCATTTATTAAAAACATAACTTAGTATCAAATACTATAGGTTACCATATATAGTATCATTTTAGAGGAACCATTTTAGAGGTCACTTTTCTAATATTACTTATCTTCTACTTATATTACCTTATTACTGCACATTGGCAGTTCTAGCTTTTTTCTTTAGTATATCTTCAGTATATATTGAAGGAATTATCTCCCATTATCTGATGTTGATGTTACAAGCACACAGCCACTTGCAAAGACGGAGTTAAGCTTTACTTGAGCAAGCCTCTGTGTTTTGCAATCTGTAACAGCAACTCCACAATATTTAGAGTCAAAGTCAAAGGTTTTTCTCATCCAGCCTATGCCTGCATTGGAATATAAAGGTAGCATTTTGACATTTCTTATGAAATTTACATTCTGAATAAAATTTCTATTCAGGCTAATTAAAGCATTTTATTTTGATAAGACTGAAACAATTTGTTTTCATTAAGTAGTTAAATATGTATTGCTTTATCTTTATAATTGCCACTATTTTGATTGCTTTTCTATACACAAAATGCATAAATTTTGCAGAAAATTAAAAATTACCTCTAAGTATACGTATGTCAACATTTTTAATGCAAATGCCTAAACTCAATTAGTCAGATAAAAATCAGTGTGATTTCTTTTTTTTACAGCAGCACAAAACTGCAAGAAGGATTTACCTGAATAAAACTGCAACCCTAAGGAGGTGTCAGGCAACTCTTCTGACAGCTATGGAGAAAAAGCTTTTTAAAAGAATATAATCAAGAAGAACAGACCAATTTCTCCTTTTTTAATCCTAGAAAAAAAGAGGTCTAAATAGAATCAGGTCTTTCTCCTTTTTCTTCTGAACCTACATTCTCACTCATATCCTATTAACACAAGGGAAAGGAGGTATTTATTTTTCTTCTTTTAGTTGCTTTGAGAGCAGGATCCCATCCTTTCTGAAAGAGCCATCAGTTCTAATTTTACATGGTGACAGTCAAACACACAGCCAGGTGAAGCGAGGTCAAAGGCATGCAAGACACCTTTGCTTTGAAGAGAAGTCAGGTGTAGCCTTCACCCTCAACAGAGCACTGTTCCTCACTCATTTAGTCAAAAAAAATTAAGGCAAGATGATTGGTTTCAGGCTTTACATCATGACCCATCGAGGCACAGGTCTGACTCACAGGGACCTGACCCTACCTCCTTTGTCACACCTGGTTGTCAGAGCTCTTAGAGCTGACACTAAGCTTTCAACCAAGTCATTTAAAAAAAAAATCACAACTACAATTAATCACCTGTGATAGAAATGATGAAAGTTCCAAAACAAGGGCAGCACAATTTTGTCCTTGGAAACTTAATGTTGATAGCATGGACACTGCCAATTTAAGCATCCCCGCCTATTCATCTGGCAGCCGCAACAGCTATAAGTTATATTTTCCACAGCTAGATCTGCAGATGAATATTAAAGCTGGGCAGAATTCAAAACCATATATGAAAATTGCACAGCTGGCAACTTAAATCCTACACTGATGCTTTGACAAAAGTTAGGCAAAGCTGCCTTCTCTGGCAGGGTATTCTAAACAGCCAGCTACAGATTGATTTATAATCCTATAAATCCAACAGAATACAGGTTTCTCCTCCATTACATCATGTGCACTGACAATTTACTCCAGTCCCTTCCCAGCAGGGTGTTTAAATGGATTTTCCATGGCCTTGGTATTTTTGGTTGGCTCTCTTTAGAGCTTCAATATTTTGCAGGCTTACAGAAAAAGCTCTGATACAGTCATTTGACAGGAACAACCTGATGACACAAGAGTTTCTGTATAAATCCCTGGCCAAAGGGGTTCAAAATTATTAATAAATCTACAGTTTTACCATCACTATTGAGACTGACCTTTACAAAACACTACAATACTCTCTGTTTATACAGCTGATGGACAAGAGAAGTTGTATGATGTTTGACTACTTGAAATGAGATAGTATGAAAGTGCTTCTCAAATGGCTTCCATTAACAAAACAGTAACATAAATTTGAGTTTTAGAAGTAGAGCTCACCTGCAAATCCAAGCGTCATTAGACCATTAACTAGGGGAAAAAAAAATAAGTTAGATATGGCCATATTATTATATAAGAGAATTAGTGCAGATACAAGCAAGCTTGACCATAATTTAGGTTTAAACAGAATACTCAAAATGTTCAATCGAACATTAATTTCAGTTTTATTTAAAAGTGTGGCTGAATAGAAAAATAAACAATTAGAGACATTACGTTTTTAAAATCTTTTTTATCTGTTCCTTAAGTGGCTGTCATGCAGAACTGTTATGGGTCTGTCCACACCACTCTTTTTCCAACATTAAGGATTAGGGATAAGGAAATTTTTACTTTAAGCTTCTTAAGGGTGAAAAGGTTGGAGAAGATAGCACATTCACTTGAAATGTAGGTGAACTGCACATTCTGAAGAGTAGAGCAAAAACAAAAAAATATTTCAGCTATGAAAATTAAGCAAGCACAGAGTCATCAATAAGCGTGTATTCATTTAGAAACAAAATGCTGTGTTTCATGGTCTCCACTTGTTGCACAGTGAAGTCATACATTTTGAAAAACATCATGTTCAAAATCCATAAGCCTCTCATGCAGAAGTTATGTTAACACAGATATGTCAGAAGAGTATACACGGAAACAAACTATGCCAACAGAAGGAGTCTTCTGAGCAGCAATTTGCAGTACATCCAAATGGATGAAATTAACAGAAGCCCACGGTGTTTGCACAGCTCCAGCCACACTCAGGATTTTGCAAATATAGCTAAGAGGGATGTGGCTTCAATTATTTTTGATGTCCCACTGGAAGAAAAAAAAATGCTGACAAATCTTTATAGCATTAACCTTGCAACAGAAATGGAATGAGTAATTTCACACAGATGGGTGCCTCCTGCTCCTTGTTTATACCCTACATGTCACTCCAGTAAAATGAATCAAGATGTATGTAGGAGAATATCAGTCCCAATTATATTGATCCACATGGTGCATCCACTGACATATGCCAAGCCCTTGACTAAGTTAACTTCAAATTGTGCATACATACATCTGAGAAGAATTTAGATCCTTCTAAGGAATATATTTTTCTTTCAGACAAGCATTAAGCTCTTAGTTACCAATGAGCCAGAATGTATTGCAACTGTGAAGAGCAGGTATCCGTGTATCAGAAAAATGCATTGCACCCTAACAAACAGAGCTGAAACTCCATTATACACTCCAATAGTTGTATCTCTTTCATAAATTAAGCACTTTATTTTCCCTCAGGCTATTAGCTGTCATAGTAGCAAATATACTTGAGTCCCTGGGGAGCTTTTCCTTTAATCCTCACCTGAACATGTCCCTAATACAATGGCAGAAAACTGAAGATCAAACTAAAAGTACACACTTCATGAGGAAGGCAAGCGCACTTGTTATGAGGACATGGTCCAGACGCACATGGGTGCCCTAGGTGCTTCCCTCAGGGGCTGCAGACCCCACTTCCAATTCTTGCTCTGATTCCTATCACTGATCTCTAGATTCTTATCAGAATTAGATTACTTAGATACTTAGATTACTTACTTAGATTACTTGTCAGTAATCTTTATGACACCACAGGGAGGCAAATAAAACAGGATTTACATTGAGAGAGAACCAGTAAGAGAAAACAACATGTCCACTTTTTACAGATGACAGGTTGAGTGCCTATCGCAAGTGTTGGGCAGGGAACTCGTGATAAACCAAGTACCGAATAAAGGCTCACAGGTTTGTGGTCACAAATCCCTCTGCTCACAGGAAAATGTGCTTTTTGCATTTTCTAATCTGCTCATAACAAAGTAACACAGGTTGTTTTGCAACTGTCCTCAAAAGAGTGCAGATGCCTTCAGAGACATGTAAAACAACCACCCAGATCACCACTTGCTACATGCCCACTACTGTTTCTTTTCTTTGCTCCCAGATGTTCAATTAATAAACAAAGATTTAATCAGGAGACTACAGCTTGTTGGCTATGATAGTTTACACAAAAACATATGACCTTTCCGGCCCTTTTAAGAAGGGCCAAGTTTAGCTTATTTCATGAAAGGTTGATGCCACCACATCTCATATTATAGGATACACAGAGGAAGCAAAGTGGGTCACGGTGCTGAAAGATGTTGCCATGATCCCAAAATAAACACTTGCCACACACTTCTACCTGAACCAACATTTAAGGGAAGGAAAGGAGGTTCAGTTGAACAGTACTAGTTGCCTGCAGGTTAAAACATGTTAATAATGAGCCACAGCAATGGCCTTTAACTTTTATTTTCTCCATACACTGTAGCAGCATGTATGATCACCCTCAGCATTAGTGGGACCAGATGCAAAGGGGCCAACCAGCGTGGAGCCAGAGCAAGAGGTGAAGGAAAGCACTATCTAAAGAAGGATGAGGAAAAACAGGTTTGAAGAGTCTTTGGAAAGAAAAAGTAAAGAGAAGTAAAATAGGAGAAAGTAACAGAAAATAAGAAAACCAAGAAAAAAAACCCAAGCTTTTATTAACAACCTACTTCAAAATCTTTTCTATGAAAAAAGAAAATCTGATCCTAGACCTTCACTGCAGCCTCTTACCTACTCTGTATTCTCCTTTAGTAAACAGACATTGTTTTGACATTAAAAAGAGCATTCAGGGTGGGATTCACAGCAATATGTAAATTCACTATTGGTGTATATAAGAGGGTAACTGTAGTATGACTTTTCAAGTATATAAACTGCTTTTCTGTGAAATGGATAAATATTTCTCAGTGTTTCTTTTTCTGCTATAGTGTTATTATTCACTAGTAATTTTTCCCAAAGGCTTAAAAGTAGCACTGGAAGTCTTTGTATTGCAACTACTCCATAAATCTGGAATAGCCTAAGAATTGTGTGTTCTTTCTACTGCATATTCCTCTATACACTTCATAAGAATAATGTTGAAAACCTTGTATAAGCATATAAGAGGGAAATGTTAGAATATTATTTTCCCTTGCCTGAACATTTCTTCAGGATGCTGCAATTACTGCAGGATGGTAGATTTTTGAGAGGCTCCAACACTTTCTCAGAATACAGATATCAAACAATTCTTGTTTTACTTGACTGCAGTATGCAGTTTTTCACCAGCAATTACAGCATTGTAATTGTGTGTATATTCTTTGAAATTTGTGATGTTAGATCCAAAACCATATTTTTATCAATCATAATTTTCATAAGAAAAAATAACATATAATGACCTCAAATTAAACCTCATGTCAAGACCCTACTTATATACCTCTTTGTAAAGACAGTCCTGCCAATTACCATCATCTAATCTTTAACTATATGCCAGGACATCAGATCTATATTGGAAATTATGCACTAAACAAGCATCTGCCTCTCTGGAGAACCTGAAGTTTTACTGATAGCAGCATGTGACTGTGTAAGAACTGCTCCGACATACAGTTCATGAAAGCAATTAAAGCCACAGTTTGAAATGGCAACTACTGCATGTCATGCACTTACGATTTGCTGGAAACACAGGAGAGAGATTAATACTCCATTAATAACATTTTCTTATACTGATCAAATCTAATTACCCACATTTCTTTTATAAATCTGATTTTAAATACTGAACAAATCAGTCTCACAGAAGTGTGTCAATACTTCTCCAGGTATTTAAATGTTTCATAAAGCTGCCTGTCACGGAGATGGCATTAAAGTCATATTAAATTCACCAATCTTTTATGTACACTCGAAGTTACACCATCACAGGTTTTCTGTCAGAAGTGCACAGACACTTCAGAGAATCTAACGCATAAGAAACTCCCATAGGAATAACTTGACCTATGCTCTGACACAATGTCAAGAGCCATCTCAGTGCATCAGAAAAAGACTGGTTACACTTGGGGTAGGATTTCTTTACCATCTTTCTTCCTGGGCATTTATGAGCTCAAGAACTTCAATGCACTAGGGTCTGGATACGCAGAGAAGGAAAAGATGAGCTAAAACAAGCATCATGCGGCTGCCTTCCAAAGTCGTCTCCAAAAGCCTTCTATGGGGAAGTCTATGGGGAAGTCTATGTATGTAGCCAAGACAATTCAGACTCCGAAGAGGCTGAGCAATCCTGAAACTTGATGGGAAAGCCCACGAAGGTCCCATGAAGGTCTGAGCCCTCCTGGGCTGATAGAAGGAGGCAGTTTATGTCTGGAGTAACCTTGGATCCTCTTTGGAGATGCCTCACCCCTCACTTCACCACAAGCTTCTGCTGTGGCTCACCAGGTGTCTCAGGGAAAAAAACAAGGAATTTCCCACAACAATCTTTGAATAAGAGGGCTGTAAGACAGAACAATTTCTTCAAATTTATTTCATCAAACATATTTCATCAAACATACTTTTCCCCTGCATAACCTCTATACCTAGCTTCAGCCAAATAACCAACCATAAGCATTTCTTAAAGACACACAAAAGTATACTTCTCTCTTCCAATTCTGCATCTTGTTAGGGCACACAGTTCTGTAACCCCAGCTCGAGCACAGTGGACTGAGTTAGAATATGGCCATTGAGCTGGGAGTTCAGAAACCGGTCCTGACAGTAACAGGAAAGAATATGTGAGAGAAGCCACTATTTCTGTGCTTTCAGCTATAAGCCGAGGTTTGCTAAGGCAACCATTGGGAGAAAAGGAGCTGATCTTTAGCTAATATAAAAGAGCACTCATTAAATCTTGACTATCTCAATCTGCTGAGGAGCTGACTAGCATATGTTGGTGTATCAGACATGATAACTGAATTACTGAAACAGATTTGGCTTAACATTCAAAGTGCCACTGCCTGCAAGTCAGAGAGAAGAGTCTTTTCACTGATAGTTTTGTACAGATATTTATGGGGAAAACGAAACACATCTTCTCAGGTGGCCCACCCTCAGAGAGAGAGGTAACAAAATGATTGTACTGTTTCAAGTGTAGAGGCTGTTGTAAAAGTACAGAAAGGAAAAATAATGCCATTGGTACAAAAACTAAACTCCCACCTGTTGATCTTTAAATAACCCTGGCTACACTGTATATGGTTCAGAAGTTCATCTTTT